TCACGCCTATAAGCTTAGCTACTCAAGAGGCAGAGATCATGAGGATCGCGGTTTGAAGCCAGCCCAGAGAAATAGTTCATGAGACCCTATCTCGAGAAACCCTTTACAAAAAAATAGGGCTGGGGGAGTGGCTTAAGGTGAAGGCCCTGAGTTCAAGCCCCGTACTACAAAAAAGAAAGAAAGAAAGAAAGAAAGAAAGAAAGAAAAATTTGCTTCATTGTAAGTAAAGAGACAATTTTTAAAAAATTTTTTTTTAATAGACCTTGGCCTAGGATGTAGCTCAGTGGTAAAGCACAAACTTAGCATGTACAAGTCCCTAGGTTCAATCCCCAGCACCACAAAAAATAGACTTTATCCTTTTTTAACAGTTTTTGGCTCAGAAAACTGACAGAAAGTATAGAACTCCCATACAGTCCTCCACGCTCCCATGCACGGTCGCCCGCTTTCAACACCCCACACCCGAGGGGTACGTGATAAGAGTATCATTTTGATTTCCCATCTCTTTGCTTACTAGATAGGTTGAGCTTTTTTTTTTTTTAATGTGTCATTTAACTATTTTTAGCACCATGTTTGTGAGTTGCTTTCCATTTTCTTTGTCTTCTGATTGAAAAACCACCCAAGTGAAGTAAGACTGGTCGAAGCCTTTCTGGTTTTCCTAGCGTCTAACGCATTGTCACTCTGGGAGTGTTGGGGGACCCTGACCACCCACGTTACTGGGCTCATTTTCTAGCTTTGGTTTCTGGGACAGGACCTGGGACTTTGCATGCATAACAAGTCACCTGGGAGCACCCGGAGGTGTTTAGAACCACTGGTCTTATGCCTTCTTATAAACAAAGGTTGGAAGAATTCCACACAGAAAGAATAAGTGTTATTTATATTAACTGTAACTAATGGGTGTCACTTTCTATTAAAAGAGAAAAAGAAAGCAAGAGAGAGAAAAAGAGAGAGCTCGCCAGCACCTCTTCATCAGTGGGAGAGAGCCAGAAGGATTACTCAGTCTGAAGCTTTCTTGCAGGAATTTGTTGAGATGACTAACGTTTTATCATTCAGAGGTGATCATAACTAGTTCACATTCTTCTTCCTAGAGCAAGCTCATTCAGAAAAAGCTGGAAACTACCGCCAGCAACAGATAGGTCTGGCAATTCTAAATTCCATTTTCAGTGAAAAAAATATTTTTTTTTCACAGTACTGGGTTTGAACTCAGGGCCTTGTGCTTGCTAGGCAGGCCCTGTAGTACTTGAGCCACGCCCCCAGCCCTTTCTCCCTTAGTTGTTTTTCAGGTAGGGTTTCACATTTTTGCCCAGGCCAGCCTGGACCATGAGTCTCCCACCAACATCTCCTGAGGACCTTGGATAACAGGTGCAAGCCACCATGCCTGGTGTATTGGTTGAGATGAGGTCTTGCTCACCTTTTTTTGCCCAAGGTTGGCTTCAAACCTTGATCATCCCTATCTCTGCCCTCCAAGTACCTAGGATTACAGGTGTGAGCCACCGTGCTCAGCCAGTGAAATATTTTTTACTGCTCTGTCAGTCTATTCAGAGTGGCCTCTATTGGATTTCCAATAAATGAAACAGTACTCACATTGCTAACTTCTGCTTTATACTGAGTTTGAAAACCCCCAAAATATATGTAATTGCACTTTTCTGAATGTATGTTCTACCTCAAAAAAAAAAGAAGGAAAGGAATGAAGGAAGGAGAAGAAAGGAAGGAAGGAAGAAAGAAAGAAAGAAAGAAAAGAAAGAGCAAGAAAAGTGAATGAAACAGTTGAGAACGGATGTACAAAGCCATTGTGTTGGCACGGTTCCATTGTCTTGAACTGGGCTCCCCCCGGCCATTTGCAAGGGACTGCACCACTAGTGTATCAGAAACCATCAGACTCCTAGACACAAGCAGTAACAAGCAGGCACACATGACTATATCCTCAAGAAATTCCTGTGCTGCGGCAGGAGGTATAGGAAAGCACTGGTTTAGGGTCTTTCTTTGCTCTGGTCCCAATCCTCCCTCCTGAGTGCTGAGCTAGACCAACAGGAGGTACCTGGGAACCAAGCAGAGACCCAGCCTAGGCCAGCCATGGAGCGAGGCACCCCAAGGCTAGGATTCCGAGGAGGGAGTCAGTCTCACTGCCTTATTCCACGATGCTGAGCCAATCTCCTGCCCCACGGAGGGACTGTGGAGATGGCTGTCTCCACTGCCTCTGGGCTGAGAGCGTGGAGGGCAGGAGGCACCCACGCTTCTTCCTGTGGCTCACCTGGAGATTGGCCCTGAGTCCTCTCTGGCTGTCCTCCAGCCCACGGGTCCTGTCCCTCCCTGCAGGAGCATCACCTAAGGACTCCAATGAGCAGAGAAAGGAAAGTCACATCACACCTGAGGGCTGCCAGCCACAGTCGCTCCAACACAGGAAACAGCTGGGCCATGATAAAAAATAATTTGCACATTTAGGAGCCCCAAGTACAACATAAAATTTCTTTCCTGAATTAAAAAAGTTTAAAGTCAATAAAAGCAATTAGCTCCTCACAAGACAAAGAAGAAGAATCCCAGCCTCCACCCCCGCTAGGTGTCAGAGCCAAGTGCAGAGAGGAACTAGGAGAGAACACGGAAAGGTCTGGGTGGGCTGATCCCCGACTTCCAGCAGGTAAATCATGGGAGCTCCAGAAGGAGAAAAGAGATTGGGGAAAAATCTGAAGCTGTTACTGCATAGTTCACTAAGTTCCAGGTAGAACTTGTCTTTCCTCCCTCCTTTCCTCCCTTCCTTCCTCCCTCTCTCTCTCTCTCTCTCTCTCTCTCTCTCTCTCTCTCTCTCT